CCAAACATCAGGCCAGGCATCTGATTACCCAAAGCGACCGGTAAAAATCATCGTGCCCTATGGCCCGGGTTCTGCGGCTGACGTGGTCGCCCGTCTGCTGGGAGAAGGGCTGTCACAAATCTGGGGCCAGACAGTGACCGTTGAAAACAGGCCGGGTGCGTCGGGTGTGATTGGTGTCCAGACGCTGCTTCGAAGCCCCAATGACGGGCACGACTTTTTCTTTGGCGACATCGGAAGCCTGGGCCTGAACCCGCTTTATTTCAAGAAGCTGCCGTACTCGCCTGGCAGGGATCTGGTTTCTGTGGTGGATATTTTCCATGCGCCACTTGTCGTGTACGTGTCGAAAGACTCGCCCTATAAAACCGTCGGCGAACTCATTGCCGCTGCAAGAAAGTCACCGGGAAAGTTGACCTTCGCTACGCCTGGCGCAGGCGGGCCAATGTGGATTGGGGCAGAACAGCTGGGCGTGAGGGCTGGAACAAAGCTGCTTCATGTGCCATTCAAGGAAATGGGCCCGTTGCTGACCGCCGTCGCTACAGGCGAAGTCGACATGATGGTGACAAGTGCGGCAACCGCGCGCCCGGTACTTGACCGTCTGCGGCCACTGGCTGTGACTGATAGCGGCCGGCTGGCGGAACTGCCGGCCATTCCTACGGTCCAGGAGGCCATGAACCTGGATGTTCAGGTGGTCGCATGGGCCATGCTCGTTGCAGCCAGGGGTACGCCCAGAAGAATTGTTGAAAAGGTCAGGGCGGACGCATTGACCGCCATGAAGAAGCCCGAGTTTTCAGGCAAAACGAAATTGTTTGGCCTCAACCCAAGCAAGGAGATGACTGTTGACCAGCTTGACGCATTCATCGTGTCAGAGTCAGAAAAATACGCGCCGGCTGTCAAGGCCTCAGGGGTCAGCAACGAGTAATTCAGGTCCAGAGCCTGAACAGAAAATTTGAATGGATGAAATAAAAATGAACGATGCAGCGGGAATGTCGGATTTTGATTTCAGGGCGAAACAATCGATCTGGAATAGCCGGAAAGCGCGTTTGAATTGGGACACCTTTTGCAGGCATGCGGTGGCAGAGTGGAACGTGGACATTGAAGGGACGATGGCCACCGTTTCAAAAGACAAACCGTTCCAGGTTTTTTATGGGACCGGTTATGAAGTTCATGGCTTTGACAATGTGCGCGCCTTTTATGAAGAGCGCATGCGCACATTCCAGGGCCAGGGTTTTTATGCTGATGATTTCCTGGTCAACGACGATGTGATGGTGGCCAGGGGATGGTTCAAGGGAAGCCCCAGGGGGTTCTTCTTCGGTGCCCAGGCCAGCGGAAAACCGATGTTGTTCAGACTCACGCTGTGGGTGGACTTCGACGCGGATGGGCTGGTGAGGGGGGAGTCCGCCTATTTTGACGGCAAGGAGTTTGCGCGCCAGGCTGAGCATGGCTACGAACTGCTGGCAGACGGCGATCAGAAACCCTGAAGTCAATTGATGGATATGAACATTTCAGAAAAACGTGTGAAGGTCGCCATCATCGGTTCCGGCCTTGGCGGCCTTGCGATTGCTGCGCAGATTAAAAGCGGCGTGACCACAGACATGGTGGTTTTTGAGAAAGGTGATGATCTGGGCGGGGTGTGGCGGGTCAATCGTTACCCCAATGCCGCCTGTGATACGCCGGTGGAAATGTACGCCATGACGTTTTTCAGCAAACACAACTGGAGCAGTAATTTTGCGCCGTGGCATGAAATTCTTGACTACGCCAATGAGCTGGCTGCCCATTACGACCTGCGCGAAAACATCAGGTTTAACTCTCTTGTCACGTCGGCGGTGTGGTTGGGCGATGTCAATCGCTGGTGTATTACCCTGGCCAACGGAGACATCTGGAACGCAGAATTCCTCATATGGGCCGGCGGGCTCTTCAGCCAGCCCCTGATACCCAGCCTGCCTGGCATTGATTTGTTTAACGGGCAAATCATCCACACGGCGAACTGGGACCCGGATATCGATCTCTCGGGGAAGAGGGTTGCACTTGTAGGCAGCGGCGCGTCCTCGATTCAGGTTCTTCCATATGCTGCCCAACATGCGGACCATGTCCATGCCTTTATACGCACGCCGTCGTATGTGATGCCAAAACCTGAAGAGTCTTATGGCAAAAAGGAGTGGGAGAACTTTCGACGCCAACCTGAGCTTCAGGCTGAAAAACGCAGGAAGTGGGTTGATTTTTTTGAAGACGCGGCAATGTCCCGCTTCCCTATGGACGAGGGGGCTATTGCCCAGGTCGAGCAAGC